AAGAGACGGGTATACGGGAGCGTGGAGAGGATGAATGTCTATGACTCCGGTTAAGTATCATTGCGTTAATATTTATAGTAGAGGAAAAAGGGAGCGGGGGGGGAGGCGTACGGCGAACTTCCGCTTCCCCCATGCGCGCTCGACAACGCGCAGGTGGTAGGCGAGCATAGCGGCGAAGAGCGCCTCCGTTGAATTGGCGAAGCCGGCGAGTTGCCATGTAACGAGACGCCAGAGTTGGCCGTAGGGCCATAGGTGTGGGGAGACGCGGATGCTGGCGAGGTGTTTGATGTCGAGGATGGAGAGGGCGATGGAGGAGGCGATGGTGTAGATGAGGAGGAGTTTGGTGATTGGGGCGTTGGTTAGGCCGGAGGTTAGCATTTTGTTGTGTCTTTTTTTTCTCTCCCCTTTTTATTTCTTGTATTTAGTGAAAAAGGAGCAGACCGCGTGGTCTGAGGGTGGTGGTGTGCTCTGTTGTTGTTGGTGGTGGTGGTGGGGAGATGATGACGGTCATGGACACGTCGGGCCAACTACGGGCCGAGAGCCGAGTCTCGGCATGCCGATCGATTGAACTATATCTACGTAGTTGTCTTGGTCACTCTTACGGTCTACAGTACCATAGTTGTACTAGATAAAGAGGATCATATACATTATCTATTTTCCAGCGATTGCAATCGCTGCATTTCCTCAGTGTATGCTGTATTGTACTTGGCCAAAGCAGTCTCCAATGCTCGGATCGTGGGCCCCAGCAACTGCTTGACAGCCTTCTCTCCACCTGTAACTCCCGCAAGATTGAGGCGGATCTTCTTGCCCGTAGCCTCTAACACCTCGCGCGCATGCTGCTTCAGTCGGTTTACTTCCACCTGGCGTTCCGCCTCGGCGTCATTGGCGACAGACTGGATGCGTTCCATGGCCCGGTTCAGGGATTCCACGAGCGATGCCACCTCTGCCGCACGGTCGGGGTTTCCGGACAGAAAAGCCTGCCAGAATTGATGGAGGAACTCCGTGGTTGTCGCATGTGTCAGGGTTAACCTATCATAGAGAGTGGTCGACAATCCGTACGTCCCCACGGTGGATGACGCCTCCGTCTGGTTGCGCCGGTCGCGGATGGCGTCTAGGATCTGCTTCGATGCGCGCTGCAGGTTGGCCTTGGATCCGACCCGCTGATCGGGTTTCTGCTCGTCCTCCTCTTCAAGTTCCTCTGGTTCCACAAGCTTTCCCAGTGGCGCCGTCCCATCGGTCGGCAGATCCCGGTCGATCTGGCCGCGTAGGTCACGGAGAATCTGATCTGGATCCTGCTTGGCAAACAGCCGGCTCTGCTCATCTTCGGTCACTTTGGCCTGCGAGAAAAACCGACTCTGATCCCGGATGTTCAATAGCATACGGTTCTGTTCGTCGTCCCCGCGCAAGTCCCGCAATTGCAGCTCATTATACGTCTCCTCGTCCATGCCGACGGGCGCCAAAGGGTCGCGATCCGCCGGCGCCACATTCGCCATAATCTTCTCGCTCAGCGTGTTGAGCGTCCGAATGATGGGCACCTTGTCCACCCCAGACGGCCGCATGTCCAGATCCGGCCGATTCCCGCGCCGCTGGCTGTTATTGACCTCGTTCCCCGCCAGATCCAAAAAGTGCGGCACGTGCGCGTCCCGCTCGAGATTCGCCTGCTCGTCGTCGCGCAGATATTTGTCGAGAATGGCATCCGTGGCATCGTTCTCGGAGATGCGCTCGCCGCGCAGTTTCTTGAACAGTCGACTCTGAAAGAATCGCGACCAGAACTGCTGCTCGCTCAGCTTCGGCACGTTCTCATCATATACCCTCTTCACAAGCGGATGCTGGCTGAAAATGAGCTGGATCTGCTCCTTGCTGATATTGAGCTTGGTCACGTTGTCCTCGACCCGCGGCTTCAGCGACGACAGCACATTGTACGAGCCGCGCGTCTGCGACCGCTCGATCGCGTGCGCCCGCAGCAGGTGCAGCCGCGTCGACCAGAACTGCGACATGAACTGCGAGGCGGACAGGGTATCTGGTTTGGAGTGCAGCGATTCCATGAACATGCGCTGCAGGGCTGGATCGGCCTTGAGCAGCGACTGCTGCAGCTCCACGTCCGCCTTGAGCCGCTGGTCGTCATCCCAGGGGTTTGGGGCCCGTCCGGCCGAGGACACCGCGCTCGCGATCGCCATGGCGGCTGACATCCCTTCTCCGCCGGCGGGGGTCCCTGTCCGACCGGGAGTCGGAGTCGGAGTCGCACTGGGGGCGGTTTTGGCGGCCTGGATGGCGGCGCTGAGCGCATCCTTGATGGCGTTCGCTTCCGCACGGGCGTTGGCCCCGGCCGTAAAGGAGAAAACGTATTGATCTGGAGAGTCGTTCGGGGGAAGGAGAACGAAGATCTTGAGCATCACTTTGGGGTTGCTAGCCGGGGTTTGCTGTAGATCTGCCTTGGTCAATAACCATGTAACGAAAAAAAAAAAAAAAAAAAAAAAAGAATCAACCAAGTAGTCATCTCACATACTAG